GAGAATATTTTGGCCACTTTACAACCAGTGGTTTTTGAACTGTGTTCACTCGCGCACTAGAGTTCTAGGGTGTGTCTCAGGTGCGAGCCAGGGGAGAGAGAGCAGCCTCCGGGCTCCTCCAGAGTAGCTCTGTTTTTATCCAACTTACTTATTAGGGCCTTGCATAAGATTCCACTTGGTGCTAAATATAAAACAAAGATGATGTCTACAAAAACGTGTGAAAACTAATGCAAGAAGCTCTTCCCTCTCCCTTGGGCACTCTTAATTCTCCTCATCAGACCGTCCCCTGCAAATGGAGCTTTATGCACTTATTTTCTTTTTAAGGAAGCTTACCCTTTCCCCTCTCTTCCAGAATTGGAAACAAACATGAATCAAAACAACTAAATACATTTGTTTTCAAGGCCCTAAAACTCATCAAGACTCAAACTCATCAAGAAGGTTTTACATGATAAAACCAGCCAAAGTTAAGATTTGTTTTTCTCTTATGTACCTAGCTTTACATCACCCACCTCTCACTGTAATTTTAACCCCCATCAGCAAGATTGGCCTATACGTGACCTGTGTTCTTTGTGGACATTTTTTATTATAAGCAAAGAGAAGAATGAAGCTGCCTTTCTCCTTTACCCCTCTACACTAATCCAAAATCCAGACTGGCATTTGGTTGGTATGCTAGAATAATTATTAGAAATTTGGCACCACCCGGGGGCAGGACAGTGTGCAGTGGTTAAAACCTGGCACCCTATGAGGCTGACCCATGGGAGAGTTCTGGGCTATCCAGAGACCTCCTGGGTACCATAGGCATGCCTGTGCTTGGGGGATTGCTGAGACTGATTGGTGAGTAGTGGCCCTGAGACCCTACTGGCAATACCTGACTCTCTGTCTCTCTTGTTCACAAAAGAAGTAAATAAATTAACTTACAAAAGAGAGAAAGAAATTTGGCAGAGCCATTAAAAAAATGAGTTTCAGTGAGTATGTGTATAACTTTCTGACAGCTGAAAATGAACTGGAACTTAACTGAACATCTTATTCATTTGTATTGGAAAAATAAATTGTATATACTAGTGGAACAATCAATTTTCTTTAATCCCAAAGTCGAAAAGAAATAAACAGAAATGTCAAAAACTTGGAGTGAATTTCCAGAAGGACTTCTCAGAAGTCCCTTTAAAAATGAAATGTTCTCACAGAGCAAACCACCGTTTGAGCTCCAGACCTAGCAGCTTGAAAACCATGCTGGGCGCGTGTGCATGCGTGCCCAAAACTGCAGGTATAGAATGGAGGAGAAGGGATTGTGGTGTGGCCATCCCCCCAGAGAGTGATTTCTCACTTTGCCTCTGTTTGTGTGTATGTGTCTCTCTCTCTGGTGAGCATAACGTACCCTATGGCAAAAATCTAAAAAAAAAGAAGAAAAAAAGAAATATTCTAAGAAAACTATTTGACAGACAATGGAGAATGAAGGTAGATTCTAGAAACCAACAAATCCTATTCATTTCCTTCAGTTTGTAAAAACAAGCAACTGACATGTTTCCTGCCAATGGCCATACTTGCAGATAAGAAAGCTCCCTACAGGAAATCCTTTTCTAAAGAGACCAGTTGTGCCATTAAACTTAACCTTCTTCACCAAGTCCCTATCAGTTAAATATTTGACAACAAGGGAATACAAAATATATGCTAACTCACCCAAAGGACACTATAACGCTTCCAAGGTCTCTAATTTCCATCATATAGATCCCAAGATGTTCACTAAACATTAAAATATAGTTAGAGCTCTTTCCGCCTCCTCCTCTACCCAGGCAATTGTTGATGAAAACAAGAAAAAAAAATTGTTGCCTTTTTTTTAAAGAGTTATTTTATTTAACTTTATCCATTTATTTATTTATTTTAATTTGACTAGAGAGAGTCAGAGAGAAAGTGAGAAACCAAGCCACCAGGTCCAGGACTCGAACTGCGGTCAGTCATGGGGGAGTCCAGTGCCCTTAGCCACCATGCCACCTGCCAGCCCCAAAAATTGTTGCTTTTTTAAAAGACCAAACTATTAATTGCTAAAACCATCCATTTCCAGTTAAGATAAAGCAATATAATGCTATAAATGTCCACAGTGAGAAGGAAGACATTTCTAAATGAATATCAAGAACTTAAAATTTAATGGCCATTGACAAGATTAGAAAAATATAAGAAATGCATTTGCTTTATATTTACAAGTTTCTATAGTGATCCTAATGCCAACATTTAGAAGGATGTTGAAATAAATGTTGTTATTTTTCACTTAGCAAAATAAATGGGGTGGGAGAAGGGGCCTCAGCGAGGAGTCTCCAAACTTTGCCCCTTTTACACTCCTAGAAATCATTACTGAGATACTGGAAATATTTGCGACTTTGATCTTGGGAATTTCTCGACTGCCCTAAAAACTAAAGCTCTCTTTCCCATCCACAAAAAAAGAAACTTTTCTAAGTCAATTGAATAATAATAATTGTAGTTTTGGAGAAGTTCTTACTCTCATTTAGGAGTTTTCCCCTTTCCCTGCTCAGTTACTGAGAAAACTCTTCCTTTACTTCCAGAAACACAGGTTACACAGGGGACCTTAAGGCGGGGTTCCAAAATGCCACAATTCTTTAAGTTCAACGGCTTCCATTCAACTTTGAACCCTTTCACAAACAGAAACACTTCATTGTACCTTCCCCAGAAGACTCTAGTCTTCGTGGTTCTAAAAAGCCTTTTGCTCTAACCCTAGACAAACAAATCAGTTTGAATATACGATTAAGTGCTCAAATGCCTTCTTTTTAGCCTTCTGAAGCATAACTCAGAGGTAGTAAAATGCAAAGGAGGCACGAGCGCTCATCCTTGCTTTAAGGCTGTTTCTCAGATATGTTCAATAAAACAGTTATGAAGTCCAGGAGACTGCATTTTTGGTTGTTGTTGTAAAATGACCTTGATTTGACAGGCGCAGTCTCAGGTTTCAACAGATGCTGTGGGAAAGCTTACAGAAGCCAACATGTTCTCCAGGCATCTGTGATGACATGCACTTTTTTTTTAAGTGTGGTCATGGTAATGTATGTATATGTGTGTAGGGGGGGGGGTACTCTTCTCGGTTTCCATGGCAACCATGTCTCCACTCATCAGTTATTAGATACCATCCACTTCCTGTGTCTAAAATTTTAAGCCAATCAGAAAAGTGTTTATATGTGTAACAACTTCTGGGAGGGGACTTCTTTTAAGAAGCGCTTTGAGGCTCAAATGAAAATGTCTACAGGGCTTATATACTTTGTCTTGTGTCGTAGATAGAACATTTCACAACGTTTACTAATTTATATTCTTATGTAGTGGGAAATGTCCCTCTTGGCTGTGAAATGCATTCTCCTCAAAGCAGATGCCACAATTTCTTATAATATGGGCGAGCTGATTTTGATTGTTTGCACTTCATTGTCTTTTCTTTCACTGTCAGAGACTTAGATTTAGTGCATGAAACATGCTAATGCACAAGGCACTTAAATTATCAAAGTAATGATACAGTTAAGCATCCATCTGCTGATGGTGCTATTTAAATACTCAGCTCAAAAAAACAGTTAGGAAAAATGATTCTAAGTTGAACAACTTTGCATTCTACAACTTATGAGCAGAAATCATTGAGAATGTATTATGAAGTGGTACGTCTATAAATGTAAGCTACGTAGCTGACGTGTGCAAAGAAATTTGTCACCAAAATGGCCTAGTTTATCTCGACAGAAACAACAACAAAATTAAACATAAAGGTATCTCGAGCACATTGCACCCAAATTAAAATCCATCTTGCAGAAATCTGTGTGCAAGAAGGCTCGTCTGAAATGACAACATGGTTTGAAAGGAAGGTTTGGAGTGACTGTTTTCCTAAGTCTCGATCTCACTGGCCAATCAGTGTGAGAGTTAAAGTGGGTTCTAGTCTTCTGTGCAGTCTTCAGGGCTCTGCACCCTGTGCTGGTCTTGCTCTCTAAGGCAAAGCCAGCGATCGATGAAAAACAGGGAACAAAAGGAATATACCAGGATGTCTTCCTCAGCTAAGGAAAACCATTCCCTTTTTCCTCAATGAGCAGGTCTTACCCTGCCTACATTAGCTGCACACGGGAGCTTCCTTCAGCCCAGTCCTCTTGGATGAGGCACATTTTACGTTTGCAATCATGTGTCCCAACTGCGAGCAAATGTGTCACCTTAAGCCACAGCCTGTGACGGAGGGCTCCTTGAGCCCAACCAATTGAAACTAATGCATTAAATAAATTAATAACCTCACAATTAAAAGCTCCAGAGAAAGACTGTGTTTCTCTTCCCCAAATGTCATCCCAGGAGTATAAACAAAGCATGAAAAATAGTCTCTTCAGCCTCCCTGGTAGTAATCAGGGGTTTCTCCTCAAGACAATGTTTCTCCAAAAACAGAAATATTCTTACTGTCTTCCATGGAAACTCTCGCCTGCTTATGTCATATCAGGATAAGCAGTTACAGTATCTGAAAAGAGGCTTAAACTGCCCACAGATGTGACACTGTTCATAATTGATAGCAAAACAGTTGCGACAGCAATGCTGTAAACTCTGCCAGCTAAACTCCACATTTAACACGTTAGTTCCTTGAAAATAAAAGTAACGCCCAGGGAGCCCACAAAAGTGAGCTTCCATGAAGTAATTAACAGAATCATATCAATAATTTGTCCATTTATTTACATCTCCACTTGTCTGAAATTTAAAAAAAAATTTTTTTAAGGCGATCCACAAATTCCTGAGAAACTTTTTTTTTTTAAATGAACTTAGTTTTGAGACCAAACTAATGAAAATAAGCAAGTTGCCATCTCTAGATCGCTCCCATCTGGACTGCATGCGATAAATCAATCTGAAATCAGGTGTAAAGATGGGGGCAGAAAACCCCCAAAAAACCAAAGGGTGCCCCAAAATGCAGCAGCCTGAACACCGAGGGCTTCTCATGACAATGCTAAACCAGAGCATAAGATCAGGAGGCAGGAAATGAGCCCCATTTTCGTTACCTTCGATCGCCTGCCCCCCCGCTGCTTCTCGCGGCCGCATTGGGGGGCTGCTGCGGCGCAGGGAGCCCTGCTGGGTCCTAGTGCGCGCCGCGCGCCCGCCCCGCGGCCCGATCTGCAGCCGGCACGTACCGCAGGAAGCTCGGGAAGCGGGGAATCCCCGGGAAAACCGAAAAGCCAGTGAGCCCCTTTCTAAAGCGGTCACAGGTCTGTGAGAATGACCCGGAGCTTCATGTCAAATCCTGGCGTAAGATGTGAAAAGAAAGAGCGTGGCTACAACTGAACTCGTGGAAGGCAGATGTTAGTATCTGCAGCCCCAATGAAGCCCAGGGCAGGAAGTGGCGTCCAGAGGGTTCCCCGGTGCACTTGTGCTAGCACACGTTCACAGACGTCCTGAGACCGTACCCATCGGCGGCTGGAGAGCTCCCCAGCAACGCAGAGAAGGAGAAGAGGTTGAAAATGTGAGTTTGTAAGCAATGTTTGAAGCAGTTTTCCAGTATCCTCCCCCCCCCAACAGGTCCTTTTGCCTTTTGCTTTCTCTTACTTGATAATATGCTATTTTAAATAACAAAGCCCCATATGGCTGAACACGTAGTCATTTGATTTTCAAAAGACCTCAAAAATTGCATCAAAATGTGCACTCATGTATCTCCGAAGAAATCAACGAGAAAGAATTAATGGTGGCATATGGCCTGCCTCACAGAGAAAACTTAATTACAAATGAAAACAAATGCGAAAATTCACAAATTCAGTAAACTGAAAGTAAATCATGATCCTGGATTGATACACAAATCCGCTCTGGCACATTTAGGAAGACTGTAAATTCTAGGTTTCTCTTTCACAACTGGGAAACCTAGAATTTGTTACATGAAGTCCTATCAAATTCCTGGCATGTGCCCCCAAAAGGGCATTCAGCAACCTCTTGGTATATTCTTTTACTGCGGCCCACCTGGAAAGCAACTTTGAATCTTGCAAGTGCTCATTTAAGAGGACAATGCTATTAGCCCTTAATTCAAAATGAAAGCACTTTAGTGCGGATAGCCTGTTTGAAAGTCTTCAAGACAGGGAGCTTGCTGTCAGCCTTCGCTGTCACCCACTTTGAAGGTCATGATTCCGTAAAAGGGCTAATAACAATGGCGTGGTGTTTACAGCAACAGGAAAGTCAAACATGTGCTTTCTAAATTCTACTTTGGGGAGCAGAAAATGTCTCTTCGCACAGTACTCTTGCCCTCCCCCTTTCCAATCCTAGCTAAATAAATGGAGGACTGAGTATTAATTAAACGTCAAAGGTACCTTTCCTGCTGTCTTCTGTACACTCAAAGACCTAGTTGTAATATGTTGTACTTGTTCCCAGACTGCTCCCGCAGACATCGCGTGTGATCCTTACCGTGCCACTGTGAGGAAACAGCTATTCAAAAAAATTCTTTATCTATTTTGATTTATTATTATTTAATTTGACCAGAAAGAGACAGAGAAACGGAAAGGGAGAAAGCAAGCCACCAGATCCAGGACTCAAACTGAATGAAAGCACTTTAGTGCGGATAGCCTGTTTGAAAGTCTTCAAGACAGGGAGCTTGCTGTCAGCCTTCGCTGTCACCCACTTTGAAGGTCATGATTCCGTAAAAGGGCTAATAACAATGGCGTGGTGTTTACAGCAACAGGAAAGTCAAACATGTGCTTTCTAAATTCTACTTTGGGGAGCAGAAAATGTCTCTTCGCACAGTACTCTTGCCCTCCCCCTTTCCAATCCTAGCTAAATAAATGGAGGACTGAGTATTAATTAAACGTCAAAGGTACCTTTCCTGCTGTCTTCTGTACACTCAAAGACCTAGTTGTAATATGTTGTACTTGTTCCCAGACTGCTCCCGCAGACATCGCGTGTGATCCTTACCGTGCCACTGTGAGGAAACAGCTATTCAAAAAAATTCTTTATCTATTTTGATTTATTATTATTTAATTTGACCAGAAAGAGACAGAGAAACGGAAAGGGAGAAAGCAAGCCACCAGATCCAGGACTCAAACTGCAGTGGGCCATGTGGGGATCCAGCACCTTTACCCCCACGCCAACTGCTGGCTCCAGAAACAGCTATTACAGTCACCAGTTTTCAAACAAGAAAGTCCCAAAAAGTAAAGAGACTTGTTCAAAATCACAGAGCTAGTGAAGGGAGCCACTAAAATCCCAAGCTCAGTTTCCAACACTTCCAATAGCACCCCCCCCTTTTTTTAATACACCAGCTGGCCTTCCAAATATCAGAGAATGTAGTATTCTTCTACGAGTACAGTAAAACATTAGGTCCACAAATGCAGGTAGCGGTTTTCTGGTTTTTTTTTGTTGTTGTTGTTTTTTAAGAGAGATTCTTGCTATAGGGCGCATGCACTCACCAGAGAGACAGAAAGCGAGAAATCACCTTCAGGGAGATGGCCACACCGCAATCCCTTCTCCTCCATTCTCCTCTTGGGATTTTGGGCTCACGTGAGTTTGGAGCCACCGGGTCCAGGACTCAAATTGCAGTTGACTACGCGGAAGTCCAGCGACATAAACATTACACCATCTGCTGGCCCCACAGGTAGTTTTCTTTTTCTTTTTCTTTTTTTTTTTTTTGGAGAGGTTTTCGCTATAGGGCGCGTGCGCTCGCCAGACAGACAGAGAGAGACATAGAGACAGAAAGCGAGAAATCACCCCCCAGGGGGGATGGTCACACCGCAATCCCTTCTTCTCCATTCTCCTCTCTGGATCTTGGGCACGCACGCACACGCGCCCGGCGTGAGTTCTAAGCCACCGGGTCCAGGATGCGAACCGCGGTCGAATACGTGGGAGTCCAGCGACATAGCCATTACACTAACTGCTGGTTCCCATAGTCATCATTTCCTAACTGTATCAGAACAGCACTTTACTGGCATGGAACTCAAATAAGGCCAGTTGAAAATATTTTTGTCTCTGATAAATGAACAAGCTGGCTGGTGAGATGCATGCTGGTCAGGTTTCCATCCTGGGCTGTCCAGGGCACCCTGGCAGGCAGAAAGCTTAAAACTCTGTGACTGAGCAAGGATCCTGACACCGACAAACCTTTTTTATTCTTTATCACAAATGAAGAACTAATTCCACCTTACATGTCGAAAAAACGAGGTTTTCTCACGTTCAACTTGGTTTTTTGGGTGTAGTCCTAGAGCTAAAAGACCTTGAAAAACCTAGAAACTCGAGGCATTTCAGATGTGAGGTGGCCTATGATCAGATGTCCCTGTCCAGACCTGGTGACAACTGGAGCTATGATGCTCTAGAGCAGTGATCCCCAACCTGTCGGGCACCAGGGACCGGTCTCATGGAAGGCAATCACTCCAGGAACTGTGGGGCAGCAGAGCAGTGATTGGTCCTAGGATGACCTGAGCACACCACGTCACTGTGCCCCCCCCCATTTCCACCACATTACATTATACCACAAAACAATCACACAGTAGGTAGGGTTCCTGCTCCATGGGACTCCAGCACCACCCTGATCCAACAGGAGGTAGAGCCTAGCAATACAAGCCATGGGGAGTGGCTGCAAACAGAGATAAGCCTTGCTCACTCATCCACCACCCATCTGGTTGCTGCATGGCCATGGGGGTGGGGGGAGGGCGGGCAGGGGGGACTGAGAGAGGCAATAGGCCACGGACCTGCACAGGTCTGCAGCCAAGCATCCTTAGGACAGTGCAGGGCAGGTACCTAAGGCTAGTTCCATTCCATAAAGCAGGGTCTAGAGATTCCAGCCTCAGAGAGGAGAGCTACTTCTACCCTAGTAGACGTTCAAGCACAGCCGCTACTCTGCTTCACGCATAGGAATGGTTAAGAGCAGAATGGTGTTGAGCTGTCTGACAGCCTGGTTTATATGCCCCTTTCCTTGGCAGGGCCTTGTCCTCTGCCGTACTTCTTATCGTTGCGACCTGTTTGGCTTATCATGGCTTGTTTGACTCATCACGGCTTGTGGCAATAGCAGTTTATCTGAATGGTTTGGGCAGGCTGTTTGTTTACAGATGTCCGCAAAAGCATTTGAGTATGATGCTTGACATAAGTGAGGCCATTTTGAGAAGTGCTCTATAGCGTTACCCCTTGGTCCTTCTGCACCCATGGGAAAGTCACCAGTCATTTCTGTCCTTAACCATCCACTTCCTTCTCCCTTCTGCTGAAAGGAAATGCAACATCTCTGATGATGTGTCCCAACCCACTTAAATACCAACCAGGTGAAGAGCTGGGTGACATTTAACTGAAAAGAGAGAAAAGTGAATCATTCCTTTTCTTCTGTGGTTCTTAAGAACGGGGCTGGGCATGGCCGCATGGGTGGGACATGCCTACTCCCTTCCTGGGAGAACTACTTAGAAGACTGATGCAGAACTTACTTGATGAATTCATTTGATCCCTTTGTTGAAAACTAGTCTAATTACTTCATAGTCACAACATCTATGTGGCCTTCAAATGTTGCAGATGCTAGGCTCGAAGTAATCTTCGCACCAATAAGAGGTGATGGGATGCTTAGAAGAATAACTAGAAGTAATTTCTCCTTGCTAGAGTGTACCAAAAGAGGAGAGGTCCAAGAAACTGTCATTAGTCCATATCAAATATTGAATATGTGAAATGTTGATCAAGGTCCTGTTCTAGGCTTTAAATAATGTCCTGAAACAGGGGCTACAAGAACATGACGATGAAAGAGGCTCTCTCGGCTCTGTCTACCGTGAGGATGAAGACCATTCTCAGCAATCAGACCAGGAATGTCGACATCACTCTGAAGAGACGCACAGTTATTGTGGAGGGCCCCAAAGAGCCCTGCAGAGGGACTTCAGTCATATCAATGTCGACCTCGGTCTCCTCGGAAAGAAAAAGAAGGGGCTGCAGGTTGACAACTGGTGGGGAAACAGAAAGGAACTGGCTACGGTTTGCACTATCTGCAGTCACATCCAGAACATGATCAAGGGTGTGTGTGACACTGGGCTTCCACTACAAGGCGAGGTCTGTGTATGCTTATTTCCCCATCGACGTCGTTATTCAGAAGAATGGGTCTCTGGTTGACATCTGAAATTTCTTGGATGAGAAATACA